TTCTTTTACCATTTGGTCACTAAGATAGCAGTTTTTTACATTCCTATCGTGGATCCTCATGGTGAGAGAGGTTAGTGGTGAAGAACACTGTGACCATTTTCAAAATTCTAAAAGTGGGACGTTATGTTTAAGAACAGGAAGATTAAGCCGTGAAATTCTCACCTCGACACCTCCAAATTCACGTCTTTCTGCTCTTCCTAGTGACTTCTGTCGTGTTAGGATCACATCCTCATCCCGAAGACCATATCAGGATCCTCAGAAACTTTATCAGAAAGTTTTTGAGGTTCCAACCGGAGTTCTTTCTGATCTCAGAATCTGAGAAAGGAATTTTGAAAAACCAGAGAAAAGTCTTTATATCTTTATCTCCTCGGTCATCCGATTGTCTGAAATTGACTTTATCTTTGTTTTTATTAGTCCGTTATTCTGTATTGTTTGTCCGTAAAATTTATCGAAAATTTAAAAAATATATATATAATGTTCGGATTAACGAGATTGATGGAAACAGTACGGTTCTTTTCGCTACATTACCAGGTTTTATTTATAATATTTAAATTATTATAATTTAATTTCACTCGTCTTACTCATTTAATTAAGTTATGTCTTTACTGAAATTTAACATTGTATTATTGTTTATCGAATTTAAACAAAAATTTAACTAAAGGATTTAATGTTATTTTCGTTTATATTTTGTCAGATTATATCATTTAATATAAAATTATAAAGTGTTATTAAGCTAAATTAATTAAGGGAGAGGCATTGTTTTTTCCTACAATCTTTTTATTGAATTCAAGTATTTAAACAGTTTAACCTAAAACTTCCCCATTGGTTATTCGATATTCTATCAAACAAATATTAAACACATTCAAATTTCTTTCGTTTTTATTAAGTTTTCTCAACTACTTAAGTATTAAAAAATTTTGCTACTATAAATAAAAACACAATAAAAAAAGTATAAAGAAAAACTTTTATTTTCGTCTTCGTGAATGCATTAAACTTCAGTATAATCCACTTAAGTCAGTTTGTTTTTCGTAAAAATAAAAAAGAAATTTGTTTTATTTTTCATTTCGAAATATATCATTCTCATTTTTACCATCCTTTTTCTTCTTTTATCACGTAATTCTGGCTGACAAAAAACCATACAACTCGGCTCGATCTTTTGAACCCGAGGTCATTTAAAGGCCACTTCAGGTATTTTTCACATCAGTGTCTTTTTCGTTAAAAAATGACGAAGCCACAAAAGTCTTCAAATAAGTAGTATCTAAAATAAAACTTGTCGGAGACATTTTTCCATACTCACCCATTCATACCCGCATTACACCAATTTACAGTAAAATGATTACCTTTTTCTTTACTTAATTTACCTACGAGGGGAGATAAATAGCAATTGTTTATTGTATACGATGATAAATTATTTATTATTATAATAAATTTATATAGAGATTTATCGATCTATCGATTGCATCCGAGAAAATCATTAAAGGAATATAACAAAGCAGTGTACTGTACAGTACTTGATTAGATTTAGTCAATATCCGCGCGTAACATTTAGAGATATTCGACGAGAAAGATGAGTCGAATAACAGTTTTCTGGAATGTTTGGTTACGTGCAAAGAGATTTCATCAATTGATAGTTGTGTGTAACATTGTTATATTACACGGTTGCTACAATTTGATATCCGGACTCGAGTTTAGAGATCATCAATATGATATAACAACGTTAGTCTGACGGATTATAGCGACTCGCCACAATTTATCACGGCTTATCACACAGACATGGATAGTCAATTCTGAAAAGAAAACCAAATGGGTACGGGATAAGTAAACGTTTGTTAAAATTCGATATTAAATTAAATATCTTTTTTTTTATTATTATTATTTTTTAAGCCGACGAAGTAATGACTTATTTAAATAAGCCACTTTTTCGGAGTAAAAAAAAAATTAAATAAATAAATACAGAGATGATGATGATGATGATGTTTACTTACTGACAGGCTCAATTACTGCTATAGTATAAAGTTTACACCGGAAAGAAATTTCTAACGTATCCGAAATATTCGACATACCTGCGAATTTTTCAGAAAGTCGGATAAATACTGTGAGTAACCAATCGATTGTTGATAGAATTATTTAAAAAATCTCCAAAGATTTTCTTAAAAAATCTAAGTTCAACAGTAATTGCTACTAATTAATTAACTAACTCTTCATTTTTATATTAATTAAAAAAGTTTTAATTGAATAAAAAATAAAAGAAGTACGAAAGAAAAANTCTGTGGATTCTTCATATTCGGGTATTTTACCAGCTTCACAATTACTAAATTATTATAGATCCGGCATTAATTTATTTTTTTAAAAAAAATTACCTCGATATAACGCCAGAAATGCTTATAATTTTACCGTAAATTCCGGTAGAAATATGATTGGCTCTCGTTTAGAATTAATTTAATTAACACTACTGTACTCGCGTCAATCGAAAATATATTGTATTAAATTCTATAAATTACTTTTAAGCGTAATTCTAAGAGAATATATTATTATTATTATTAAGGCAGGTTCTAAGTTTAAACGTATTTATTTATTTGGCGGTGGAGAGAGCTGCCGATTAGCTATTTTTAATAATTACGTAAACGTCTTCTTAGGAGGAATTTGGAAGAAACGGAAATTAAATAATGATTTCTTATTTATTTATTTATTTTTTGCTTCGAATTTATTTAAAATCGATTTAAAAGGAGAAAACTCCAAAAATATTTTACGCGGTAATTCGTGCGAAGAGCGCCAGATGGCGTTAAAGAAAGGTCGATGCACCAATTTGTGTCGGGTGAAGCGCCACGACTCGGAAGAATTTGAGTGGCATTCTGTTTCCATTTTGATCGAAATTTCACTCCATTAGTAAGCGAAATTTTCCTAATTATTCTAATTAATTATATTCAAATATAATTACACGCTATCGATACTTTTTAATATTTATTGAAAGATCTTCCTAATATTAAGATTTTCATTTGATTTTTTCCCCCGGTAGTTTAATTAATTAATTCATTACTTTTTACGTATTAAATCGAGTGGCGTATGATTTAGATTTACTTTCCGACAGAGTTTTTCTTGGTAATTTCGGGACTTTGCCATCCGAAAATCGAGGATCGACCGAGTTCGTGGCTTTCGTCCAACTAAAAATATATTTAATTAAAATATTAACTGCTTAATTAACCATTAATTTAACATTAAACCGAAAATAAAGCCAGGCAAATGATTTCGCTTCCCTATTGATAGCGGTTTGCTTTAGCTCTTCGTTTAACTTCGATTATTAAGGCCGAAAAACGCCATTTTTGCATAGAAAATGGCGTTTCGAGCGTTTAGCCAATAATAATAATGGAGACAAAATGGAAGACGACTGCCCGCAATTTATGTGGTATACGAATTTCGCGAAAGAAATAAATGAAAATCTAAAGAGTTTTTTTATTAATTTCTTGTATAAAGTAAGACGTCAGCAAGGGGATGGCAAATTTCGTTTGGCTAGAAATAATTAGCGAGAGAAAAAGAAAGGAAGAACGCAGGTTGCATTTCCGTTTTATTCTCCGCATCCCCGCGTGAACGTGACACATTTTACCACTTCTGCAATTCTATATCGTGCACACACGGCTGCAGAATCCATCATTTCTATGACAACCGCGTGGTCCGGTCGACGTAAAATCCCTTTTTGTCCGCCCGGGGCAACTTTGTTTCATTTTTATTCAATTTTTTTTTGTTGTTGTTGTTTTCGGCTCGAAAAATGTTTTTATACATACCGTTTTCCGGGACTTCTTCGTCTTTTATGTATAAAAATCGTTCTTTCCGCATACAAAACATTCTTTTTTTTTCCTTTTGTTAAAGATTGTAAATTCAGATCTTCATTATTTTGTAGAATTTCGATGGAAAACAGAAGATCGCCGACGATACATCGCCGGGATCCAGAAACAGCGAGAGATTTTTCTTTATCGCGAGAGAACGGAGTAAGTAACCTTTTATTATTCGCGACTCGATAAGGAATTAGAGAGCCGCGATAAACGAGTCTGGATTTTTTTGCAAAGTCGTAATCAATTAGGAGGGGAAAAAAGACGGAAAGTGAGCGAAGAAGGTTTCTTAACCGAATCCGTTTAATCCCGCGGCAACAAAATATATCATTACAAAGCCTTACACAAAATTTAGATTCAAATCTTCTCGCGGAAAATTATTCGAAGGAGCATGTTTTATTCAACGCTCCTAATAATATTTAAATTTGCAAAGGAAACAGATCGGTGGGACCGACCCGGATTAATTCTGCTAACTTATAAGCATTGGAAAGTTATAAGGGACGAGAAAAATTCGGTCGTCTCGTCCCGTATACTTTAGGTTAAAGTGGATCGTTTGTCTTAGCGGTGGCTTAAGTAGCGGGTCGAGTGTCGAGCATCGATCTGTGTAAAATGTCGTCGCCAGACTACGCAATCAGGCAGTGATTGTATGTATCCGTACGTGGCCCGTATTTAGACGCCAGACGAATAGTAATGCGGCGTATGGACGGTTTAAAATTTCGAATACTTTCGACGAATACAAACCACCCTCGAAACTTATTCATTTTTTCTTTCTTTCTTACCACCGCATTTTGCTTCCCTCGCAAAAGTAACCTTCCGGATTTATAAATTCGATATTGTCGACCGTACAAGGAATTTTATGAGATTTTCTCTGTCCCTCCGACACAGAAAGCCGCTACCAAATAAGAAATGTTTTTAAAACGAGACGAGAATTTCGTTAATTGTTTCGCTGGCAGCCAAACTCCGGCGGAATTTCTTCATAAGCATTTGCAGTGTTTGGCAGAGCGGACGAATATTCCACCCTTCCGGGTTCAATTAATGATATTCGTCCTTATATTTCTCCGGGATAGTGTGTTTTAATTGCGACGATCAATAATTGAAGTGGCTTAATTATATACACCCGGCGGAATATGTATCTCGGATGTAGATCTACGAGGATTTTAAAGAAAGGAAAGGGAATTTTTTTAAACTCGTTCTCTTTTATTCTACAATAAGTATACAGATCTGTTGTTTTAGTCGACAGATCACCGTACATCTTACTATAGGTCACATTCACGGTTCTGTACAGGAACGGGACTGGGAGGAGCCGATTCCGCCAACGCCACGTCCGAGTAACTGTCGGACTTTTGGTCTCTCTCCCTTTAATTCTCTCACAATAACGTCGATAAGCAGATCGGAAAACACGCACGAAAAAATAACAAGAAATTCTCCTACAATTGACAAATTTCCTTTCAATCGCGCTACCATCCTTTCGACGGAGGACAAACGAGGTTCTAACATTTATAGGATACTGGGGAAAGGGCGTCGACCGGAGGGATGACGTAACAAAAAAAAAGACAACATCGACGTCCGTCAACATTACGTCTACTCGTAACTACTCGTAACTAATTATAGTCTACTCGACTAACTAACAACCTAACCGATTAAATGATTTCGGCAACACGTTTTCGTCTTCTATCAATAGTTAAGCTCGATTCGGGAATTGGGAGAAGTGGATTCAACAAATAAGTACTTTTTCTCTTTGTTAAATATCGACACAAACAAAACGTAACAACACGGATCGAAATTGGCACCGGCTACCGTCTCGGCCATTCACTCACCACTCGACTCTCTAACAACGAATAAGATGCACTCCGCCCCCTGCAAATAGCACCAACTTTTAAAGATTTCCACGTAAAGGTCCTTCGGTTCGAAGCGGTGGATTTCCATTCACGCACCGACACATACGAACGTTTCGATAAAAGTACAAATCTCTGTAGGAGGAAATTGTGTTTGTGTTAACTTGGCACCAAAGTAAGGCACCTGTCCAACCTCGCTACCCGTCCACCCGCCACTAGACGCTCTCGACCATCGGAAGGCCTTCGGACACTCTACGGGTCCGAGGGCCTTCCCCTTCGAGTTGTGCCGGGTCGACGTCTTTCTTCTCCGACACACCGGAGCGTACGAGTACGTAGAGTGTTAGACACCAAGCTAGAGACTATTTGTTTATCGTGTGTTTGCGTGTGTAAATATATATATATTTATATATATATATATACATACACATACCTATATAGATTCTCGTGGTCGAGATGCTGACGTATGTGTGTATATATACATACGTGTATCGTTTTTATTTACGTAGTCAAAAATAGGAATGACGAAAAATACGACCACAACCGTACGAACGGAGCTAAGTACGGGAGGAGGTGAACCCTCGACTGCCAGGGAGGCAACTCGCCGCGGGACGGCGACCGAGCAAGCGCCGTTCGAAGGAAGAAGAGGCGATTTTATTCAAACTTTGCTGGCATTCGACCGCCATCACTCGTTAATGGCTTTGCCTTAATTAGAGCGATAGCCAATTAGACGAGAGAGAGCGAAAAAGTTGGAATCTTCTTGGGGGTATGCTTGTCCGCCCAAATGAGGGAAACTACCACATCTAAAGGATTTAATTGTGAAAAGAAAAAGGTCGTCTTTCCCGCCGGGCGAGTACCTCCTTTAGGGAAAAAGGTATAATCGGTCACCTCCATCCTACGACAGAAGAACTATGGCACGGTTACGGACCGTAAGATAAAAACTAGACGTGGAACGGTCACGCACGCAATTCGTTTTTAACAACGGCGATAATCTAGAAAAGTGGCTAAACTACGGCTACTCTCCTTAGGAGAGACGGCGAGAATAGAGCGGGAAGCCCGTATATATCCTACAGAAGTTGGTCGATGACGGGGTAGAGAAGCGACATGTGTTCCGCCCCCTTGATGGGCAGTTTGTTGATGGAGTAATGGTGGATCATCTCCGGAATGCTGGCGAACGGCTTGCTGAACTGACCCAAGATGAACCGACCGTCGTTGTGGACGATCTTCATATGCATGAAGCCTCGGGCGCTCCTGTGGAAACAACGGGTCGTGTGTTAGTCACCTCCGCACCTTTAATTAACGAAAACTTCCGACAGTTTCGGAGTCGACCGCGTTTTCATTAACGAAACGGAAAATTATCCTCTCGTCGGCACAGAATCTCTCTTTCTCTTGGTAATTTACCAGCCATTTTCTCGAAAATTTCGCAAGGAGCTAATCGGTTAGAGTCGATACGAAAAATAAGAAAAAAGAAAAGTAGAGGATTGTTTAAATTAGAAAGAATCGACGAGAAGAGCCAAGACAAAGGCGGTTGTTAACGAAGCTTTCTAATCGGCGATTCGTTAAAAAGACGACTGCTCGGAGTCGATTACAATCATTAAAGGTAGAGGAACCGGTGGATGTAGTCGAAATAATTGTCCCGGAAAAAATGAAAGAAAAAGGCCATCGATTGGCGCTAAAAAGTATTCTTCTCCATAAATTGGATAATCGCGAAAACGTCGAGTCGAATTCGACCGAAAAAACGAAAGATCCATAAGTTTCATCGATTCTCTTTCCCACCCGGATACTTACTTCAAAGACAACGAATAATCCTGCTTCGAACTTTCGCTGTTTCTCACTAAGTAACTGCCTTCTTTCAACACGCGCAGTAAATTTTCGGCATCTAACCTGCTGATGGATCCGTGATACCACCTGAAAAGAAATCCTTTTAATTACCTTTCGATTTTACACCACACAATTCTCTACTCTACTTTATAAAACCTGTTAATTATTTATTAATAAAATATTTCTACCGTAGAATAAAATGACTTTTTCTACCTCTACTTGAAACGTTTTATTTATCGTGGCCGATCGAAACCATCATTTGAAAAGTTTTACGACCCATACAAATGCGATTCCGTTGTTCGTACGAATATTATATCCATTAGACGTTTCGAAACTTCGCTTTTATTTGCTTCCCGTATATATTATGACGTAATACATAAATCGTTTTTTACTTATATTTCTCTAATAAATTTAATTCCAATATACTCTGACTATATTAAAACTTAGTGGATTTACTGTTTTGCATTTAATAATACAAAATAACCGTGCATTGACGATTTTCCACGAAAAATGTCTACTTTATCAGCACAATATTTAAATATGCTGGGTGTTTTGTTTTATTTTTAATCCTGCAGTAAATCACTGAAAAAGGGTGGTTTACGGCGAGGATTCGATTAATACAGTCACCGCCATAGCTAATGTGGAAAATGTTATACGGGAAGTTGAGTGTTGTAGAAGATACCGTAAATGATCTCTCCTTGCAGTACCCCTTGGATACTCGGTTTATCAACCTTTACGTCTAGTTTTAAAGACTATATATATGTTGATTTCCTAATCTACAAAAGATTTATCAAATCATATTCAAATTTCTTTTACCACACTTCAAATATCCTGTAAATTCGAGAGCTTGCATTTTTGTGGATAATGGGATTCAGATCTTTTTCAATTCATGTGTCTGAATTAACAGACCGTTTGTTCGTATTTAAATCAATGAGATAAGTAGAGAGAAAAACTTTACTGCTATGCATAAAATCCTATTTATGGCATGTCCAAAATAATTTACAAAAGAAACGGTAAATTACTCCTATACGAACTCAAAATCCCAGTAAATAAGCCTACTGTTTACTTTTAGCTATTGTTTAATTTTGCGTTTTTTATCATTGTTCGTCCAGGCAAATATCCGCTGCTCTTGGTTCTTCTCTGCCTAATGAGGCAAAGAAGATATATACTGAAATTTTCTAGCATTCATCATCTTTCTCTCTTGATACAGTATGATGCAAATGCTTAAACATTTGGAGGAGATAGAATAGGGAATAATCACGCAGGAAAACTGCTAAATTATCCAACATCATTTTCCTGGATTATTCAGAAAACTTCAAATCTCACTCTATCTACTGCTGATTTGTTTTTAGAGGGATGAATATTTGATGAATCTTCTTCGGATCAAACACAGTTGACCACTTCAGTCTTTTCTCCAGCTTAAAAATGGTATCTTTTCCAATTCCAAGAGGAGGATAGTCTTCAAGAGTATCTATTCGCGTAGGAAATTTTTTTTCTCCCATTTCACTGTAATAGATATTCAGTTAGCTATTGATCTTTTGTCAATTATTATCCCATTGAATGAAAAACTCGCCATTATTTTGTTCTTCGAGATCGCACAATTGAAAAGTAGTGAACTCAATTTGTACAAATTGTGCTGACGATGTAATATTTATAAAAAAAAAAAAGATTTAATTCACTAAATAATTTTGCTTTTCTTATATTATTATTATTTTCTGGGAAGAACTTTTATTTAGACATACCTGACGTACTTGACAGCTGTAAACTCGTAGAAATTTTTCCAAAGAACCAATAAAGACATATCGATTTTGACTATATCGGCAAAAGGTATGGTTAACATCATTATTTGAAAAGATAAAAATACTATGGACCATATGACTTTTTTATAATATCTATCGTTAAAATTATATATTCTACAATATTTTTTATATTTACGGATTAGGTAGGTCTAACGGAATCTATTCCATCGTTTTGCAATTGAAACTAAAATTCTAATCTATGCCATACAGTATTTATCATTTCAAAATATTCCTTACCTCTCAGGATAAAAGTTCTATTCTGAGCATCTTGTGCAATTAATCTACTATTTTTTTGTTAGAGATATTAAAGAAATTGCTGGGTAGCCATTTGAGAGGTGTCTCGGATAATTTTCTTCCATTCTCTCCGGTTTCTTATTAATTTGGTAATTCACAATTCATTTTTCTAAATTGAAAACAGTTTTATCGTTAGTTTCTTTGATATCTAGAGTGATTTTGAAAGGATATTTTTGAGTCCGTGCATGACGAACAATGACGTTACACCGATGATAATTCACTGAATTGATTACGACCTGTAATCGAGGTATTCAGAAAATTTGTCTTTTCTTCAGATCAGGCGCATTCCTGAGAAATCGTGGTTTATCTTAATTGCAGAACGATTTTGTTAAATTTATTAAAACGGAGAAAAAGATTCATTTCAAATATTGCAGAGATAGTTCTTGATAAAGCTAATTTTGTCTTCTAGATTTTGAAGAAATGTTTTTATTAAAACCTTAAGCCCCCTTTCAAATATATACATTACATTTGTTTAATCTATGATGTAGTTATTTATTAACCTAAGATTTTCCACACGAAGTATCAAATGAAATTAATTACTCTGCAACGAATTATTTTATTGTTATAATTGGAGTTGTAACTTCAGTGAGAGTTTTCAGTCAGATCATTGTAACTTGGACAATAATATTTGTACTATGTCGAGAGGTAAAAAAGAATTTTTCATCTTTTGTAAATCTAATGCAACTCGGTATTTGTAGTAATATTTTTCAAGAGTTAACAAAGAGTTTTTTGGATTTTCTTTCGTGTAGAGATGCAGCGGAAGAAAATCCTGATCAGAAGTACAATAAGGCTTTTCTATCTTTCCTAGCGAATCGAAGATCTTAACTTCAGCAGGAATCGGGTTGTCTTCCTTGTTAGGATTCCAACAGGCTTATATTACTTGGCTAAACATTTTATATGGACTTAAACTTTTTCTGTAATTACCAGTCGATGTTGTAACTCTGCCAAGAAAATGACTTCAAACATACGCTGAATTGATGATAATATATTCTTCCAGATTCAATCAGAATCCAAATTATGTTTCGTTCTATAGAGAGCTCAGACATTTAAACTAGTTCTTTTTCTGAAGGTGCATAACGGCCCCTTTACATCGAAGTAGGGAAGGGAGGGCAAGATGGAAACTACTTACCCATCCCAAACCACGCGACGAAGCACCCGAATCTCCATGAATACAGAGACACCCGGATATCTTGTATTTACGAACGGCGACTCAGACCGGTTGATGCCACCAAGTGACGTGTGCAAGTATTTCATATTTCGCAGCAGTCATTGGACTTTTGCAGTGTTATTATTTATACCTAAAAGGTAAGTATTACTATTTTGTTTTTATACAAAGTACCTATTAGGGATAGATTGAATGAATTGATATTTAAAGAAGAAAAAAATTCAAGGATTTTTAAAGCGTTGATATTATTATTGGCAATGGGCATTTGGGCAAGATGGAAAATTGCATTTTAGGGCAAGATGGAATAGTTTCCAAGTTTCCCGCACGCAATTATTTTGATTTCTGTTTTCAATTTATCTAAGTAATTGAGAATGTAATTATTTTTAGATGGTGAACAAGTATATAAGAAAGAGCAACAGATGTTTTTGGACTGAAGAAACTGCAGATGGCGATGGATGAAGGTTTTGTATATTATGTGGNTCGATTGTTGATAGAATTATTTAAAAAATCTCCAAAGATTTTCTTAAAAAATCTAAGTTCAACAGTAATTGCTACTAATTAATTAACTAACTCTTCATTTTTATATTAATTAAAAAAGTTTTAATTGAATAAAAAATAAAAGAAGTACGAAAGAAAAAAAAAATATATATATATATATAGGTGTAAAATGAATCGATATTTGGGATATTTTCTTTGTATTATTATATTATTAACATTTTAATCATCAAAAAATTAATTGTACTTCCTGAGAAATTCGATATAATCGATCAATCGCAGCATTTCTTTTATTCTTTTCTTTCATATTTTATATATATATATAAAAATGAATCGAATCAATGTAAAGGGTAACAAACTTTGGAAATGACACGAAACTGAAGATTCACTTCACTTTAGACATTTTTCGATTGAAATGATCAAAAATAGTTGTTTTCAGAAATTACTGTACTCCACTTGACCTATGGAAAGAATCCAGTAATACGCAGAGCCGTTTTTAGAACAGAAGACTCCTGGCACCAATACACAATCGATCAGCTGCCCGGATAGAGGAGTGAAAGCGAGTCATTTTTCCACCAGGAGAGCCCGGGTACGATTCCCCTCCGTCCTTCTTCCTCCCGGGTGGATCCCCCTGATGTTTCCCCCCTAACTTCTACTCGGAAAAAAGGTTAACTGGCAAAAAATTACACTATCGACCCTTGAAATATATACGGTTTAGAATAGTTAAATATAGAACGGTAACTCGTGAGATCCTGGCTTTAAACATAACACTAGATATAACTTATTTATGTATATTTAACATCTTAAAGGAAGGAGTTTATCGTTCAGTTAAGGAAATCTTCCCTATTAAAAACTACCTTTTGAAAAAAAAAAAAAAAGTTTTAGTATTCTCCCGAAAGTATAAGAGAAAATTAGATCGTTAATAGAGTTAAACAATTTATTAGCTCGTTAACTAGTTATTTTATATATATTATAGTGTTATTTTATGCTAATTTTCGGAATTTTTCTAATTATCCTAATTAAACTAACGATATTTTTCATTAAGTCAGCGGGTAAATATCGTTAATTAACGACGTTAAAGCGAATAAAAACACATCAGTTAAAGTACGAAGAGAGTGGGTTATTCTATTTATATCGCTGTATATTGATCACCCGAAAGAACCGAAACGATTTACGTATAGAAACTAAACTTCAGTGTACAAAAGTACACTGAATTTTTGATTACGTATTGTATTTTCTTCGCTCGAGCCTAGCTTACAATTTTCATTAAAAAATTGCTTTTTTCGAAAAATATATTCCACTACTATTTCTGACGTTTAGAGATGCGAAGGTAA